GCATTTAAACCCATTTGTGCGCTCATGGGTGTGCTGGTCTGAAAACGAGGTGTGTTCAGGCGCATTGTTGGCGCGTTGCTATTTTGAGGCAACTGAAATAGACTGCACCATTGACCAACTAAAACCTGGTCTAAAGTCAATGGCGCAGTTTTTTTTAAATTTTTTTTATTTAAAGAGCGCATTAGTAGCCTATAGGTGGGTGCACAATGCGTGTACACTCTGCTTATTACACACACAGTGACGCGCAGCAGCACACAAACATGCCAAATATAAAAAATTAAAGGATTACAGAGTAAAAGATTATTATTGTGTAGGCTACATAAATATAAAAATGCCTACATGTCATAATGGATAGTCATTGCATGTATCAGAATTAGGCTACCTATTTGCTCACGCACAAGCAGCTCTGTTTCATCTCTGGAGATGCGTTCTGTCTTTGCGCTTGCAAATTCCACGTGTAAATGGCAAAATCGCCATGGCGCAAGCGCAACTGGCTCTTAAAGGGAATGGGAGATGAGACTCTGATTGGTTTATTGCACGTTATGCCCAAAACACACCCATTACTCATTAAGAGAATAGGGGCAACCCTTTTAGACCATGTGCCGGTCGCGCCACCGTTTTTCCCATCTTTAAACTAGCAAAAGTGGATTCGGACACGCCCAAGTGCACCTGCGCCTTGCGCTTTAGACCTTGCGCTTAGATATTTAAAATAGGGCCTGTGAGAAAAAGTGAAGACGTCGAAGATCTTGATGAAGAATAACTTTTATTACAGAATAGTAGTGACAAAGTACATGTAGTACCTTGGGTTCGACGGAGTCAGACTGAACCCCGAACATCCTAAGCTCAATCATTTTATACAGTATTACGTTCATCTTCCCGCTCAACATGTAAATTAAGTTTCGTTTTAAATGTAAATTGCGGATGACAATGAAAGTGATAGCCTTCCGTTCCCACATCTTCGGTAGACTCAAGTGGGAACAACCAAATGTTAAGGTGATAAGATTAAACAGAATCCATAGCAGTTATTTCATGTACCCTTTTGGTCAGCAGATGGTTCTTGACGACCTGCTGCTTCTCCCACGCTATAAGTGACAAATTATCGCTCCGGAGGTACTATTTACATATGATTAAGATCGGAAAGAACTATCTATATGATAATTAAGCTCTTTGTAGAGAAAGGAGCATAGTTTAATACACAATTTGGAGTGGAAGCTGGGTCGAGGCAGACTATAATTTCTTACAGGCCCTTGGTTATTGGTTGCAATATCAGTAGATACCGGTAATTCTGTGTATTGGCAATGTTAAAAATAAATACAATTGGTCATATATGTTTTTACATGCTGTAAAAACATGCTAAATACTTACTTTTTAGTCTACCTAAACTAAACACTACATTTCTTGCAGCAAAATTTGATCTGAAAAACAGAAATGACACTCTTGTATGTAAATAACATGCCTTTATGATTATTTATCTATCTTTTATAGTTTACTCTAATTTACAAGAGACGTTTTCCAAACTTCTTCCGCATGAGGATTAGAAAATTCAAGTAAAACAGTAGGCTACATTCACTTAGTAATTCGCAAATACCTGGTTTAAATTTCATCAAAATAGATGTATACAATTTTTTTTTTTTTTTGCTTTATAGTTGTTTGGTTAATCAGTTTGTTAATCATGTGACCATGTGATTGTTCTATTTTGTCATTCAGTTGTTTGTTGGTCAATTATGACTGACTGTGTTTCAACATGGTTGTTCCCCACAGTCAGGGCTCCATTGTGGCAGATTCTGTCTTTGAGTTTGACAACACAAACAACACTAGTCCTAATGTGACGGAAGTGACAAAAACCTTTACTGAAGCAATTGCAACTGGAAATTTCAGCTTTGCAGCTGATACCACATCCATCAATGCTACTGATCACAACCAGTGCTCAGTGTGTATTTACAGATGCTTTTGTTGTTGTTGTTATTGTTTGATACTTGTCTGTTACATTGTCAATCCTGACATAAACATTCATGTTTGATGACACACACACACAAATCGTGTTGGGAGGTGCTAAAAGCTACTTGTGGTTGAGATTGAGATTGTGGTTGAACACTTAAAGAAATATAAGCAACATGAGAATGAAAGTAGTGGGGGCAGGAAGATACCCTGTTGTGTCTAAAATCAGCAAGGGCAAACCATGAATTAATGAATAAATTCCAAAGATGTTTTAAGATGCTTTGTGGTCTCTAAGGGGAATGAGCATTTATTTTATTTTTTTTTACAGCTAACAAGTCTCCAGTCCTGGCTAGTATGCTCACTGCTTTCTGGATGACGCTAGCATCACTTCTGTTGTCTTCATGTACTAAGCATCACCTTCACAAATAAAATCATGCTACTGCAAAATGATTGTGACATTTTTGATCATTTTGGTCACATTAAGAATTAGCAAGTCACAAAGCAAAACAAGCCAAGTTATGATCTAGCTGTAACATTTACTAGTCTTTCTTGCCACGTATAGAGCCTGGTGATACGTATGGTATGTATGAGTTATGGTATTTTGGTTTCTGATTTACAAAAAGCACATTGTTTGTGCATGTGTACACTCACTGGGCTGGAGAAATAATGAGGATTGATTTATTGAAACCAAATCTGAACATTTCTCTATGCCACAGGAATGGCACAAGTGAAAGTTACCTATAGAGCTATTATGTTGAAATTCAAAATTGAGATTGTTTTGCTCTTTTGAAAATCAATTGAACAATAAATATCTTTACCATTCTGAAGATGTGAAATCTATGTATTTAATCTTTTAAGTAAATAAAAGATGTTCTAATAAATGCTCTGTATTATGTTTTATGAAGTACTAATGTTTAATAAAATGAAGGGGGAATCCTGTTCCGTTTGTAAATTCAGTGCTGCAAAAACTTCACAAATAAAGACTGTATCTAAGTGAATCCACTTTTTGATCTGTGACAGCATGAAGAACTGACATTCGGCCTGTTCCCATATCTTCAAAATGACTTTTAGAAAACATCAGATCACACAAAATTGCAGGGAGATGTGGACAAGCTGTCAAGTGCAATGTAATACAATGCATGAATAATGTAGGGGATGGTTCAACCACTTTTTTTTGACTGTCCCAAACTTTGATATACATTTTCATAATTTATCCGCTACAAATTACATTAGTTTTTAATCTTTAAACTGTACAAGGAGTTTGTTACAACCTACCCTACAAAAAAAAAACTTTTTGAGGTTGTAAATAAAACAAAGATTGGTGTTGCTTGCTGTTTCTTTGTAATTTACAAGCACATTTTGAGTGATTTTGTTTCTTCCATTTTCCGGGCCGAGTTGTCGAGAGCCAATCATGATTTTGTCTGAGCTATGAATAAAATATAAAAATGAGATAATTTATATTTTCTCATTTTATTTGTATTATCTTATTATTTTAGTGGATAGAATAAGTAAGTTTTGGGCTAAATTAATTTCTATGATATTTAAGCCCCATCCTCACGAGCCGCGACTCATCATGATTCTTAACTTGTTGCGATAGGCTACATGAGAGGACACTCTTTTCATTGTTTTCCCGCTTTAGCAAGTTAACTGAATAATGGAAATTCATTGTATTTTTTAATAAACCCGCGAATAAAAATATGATGGACTGAGTCACTGCTGGCTGAATTGGACAGGCGATATTCACATGAAGCGTTGGCCTCGAGTGTGGCGTGTGACACAGTATTCAGTTGTGAGAAAAATGGCATCAGTCCTCTACTAAGCATGTACGCAAGCCTTAAGATTCACCCTCAGCTTGAGACAGCTGAAATGGATCTTGTGAAATGTGCAATCGCATCGCCGATCACTCTTGAGAAACTTAAAGATGAAGTACGGAAGGACAAATATCCAAACTTTTTCATACTACTGCAGCTTGCACTCATGCTGCCCGTTGGTTCGGCTACATCAGAAATAAATTTCTCAGTTATGAGGAGAATAAAAAACTGGCTCCGATCTAGCACACAGAGAACGATTTGACTGAAAATGTATCAGAAGAGTTGAAAGAAAGACAGTGGTCATCAATTCGCAATTCGGAAAAAGAGGTGGCTTTTCTGCATTAGGTATGTTTTTTTGTTGTTTTTTTTACTCTTTGTACAGAAGTTATTGTTCATTCTAAATGTATTTTTAATGTAGAATATGTGTTACATAAATACATGAAATTTAATCTGACACAAACAAATGCATTTGCACAAATCCCTGATTACTAGTCCTTCTCAGATGAAGGACTGACCATTACTAATATGACATTTTTTAAAATCTATCAATGATGTAGCCTAATTAGTTATTTTATTTAGTAGTAGTTTTTTTTAGTTAATATTAACATTAGTATTAGTAATGTGTGGATAGTAACTTGTGGTCGGTGAATACTATATAAATGTGTGGTTCCCCCTTCACTGTGGGAGTTGCTGAGGAGCCTTTTTATAAAATTGCTGCCAACACAGAGACTGTTTGCAAAATGTCCGTCAGCTCAGAGACTTCCCAAAAGATGGCCGCCGTTCCAGAGCCTCGTCACATCTCAGCTGATCGTCCAGAGTCTCATCACGTCACAGCTGACCGTCCAGAGTCATTGCTGATTATTGTTTAGCCTATGTTGTCTAGTTTCTGCCTTGTCTTGCCTTCGTGTTTTATTCTTGGACTGTTTACCTGGTTTGTGATAGTTGACTGCCTGTTCTTTGGATTACTCTTTTGGATTACCCTGGATGTACTGTTTTGCTGGTGTTTTGACCCTGCCTGTCCGACTACACTCTAAATAAAGCCTGCACTTAAATCCTCAACCCCGTTGTCACGTCTCCTCGTTACAATACTATATCTGTCTACTATGCTATAGGATATGTAGATATAATATATACCCTACTAGATATTTAGTAGGGTACTAAAAAACTATGTCATAAAATAAACTTCTAAAACATTTGTCCATTCTTCACTAACAAAATCAGCTTAAATATATTAAACAAAGTATCCTTCATTTTATTTCTTTTGTGAACTTTCCTAGTACACTTTAAATTACAAACACATCAAAGTTTGTGCTAATAAAACAGTAATAGCTGGAGATATAGTCATTAGTGAACAGCGTACCATCCATGGAAAGGCACTAGACGTGGTGTTTGTGTACTCTGAAAAAGTAAGAAGTACAGAAAAATATAAAATAAGAATATAGGCTATGGTATTGAGTTCTCAGGGGTGTTCAGTACATTACACACTACATGATATATTCTAAATAGTGTATGTTATGTATTTAAAAGTATTAAATAAAATACTATTTAACAATGAAACAGTATTTGTTGGAAAATACCATTGGTACTTGATTTCATGGTGGTAGATTCAAAAGTTGCATTTGTGGCAGGCGGTGGTGTACTAGAAGTAACTACTTCCCCTGTAATATAAAATGTGCACACATGAAACATTTTAACGATTTCATTGTTATGCTAATTTGTCAATTGTACTTCACACACTCACCTGCTTTGATAGTATCAAGTATGATGTCCAAAAGTATGGTACCATTCACAGCGGTCCCATTAAGAATTCCCTCTACCTCAAATGAGCTTGGGACTGTAGAAGAATTCTCAAAGATAAGAGTCATATCAACTTTAATGGAGCCCCTCCTGGAAATAAAAAAACAAACAAACAAATAATAATAACCCCCAGTGTCCTATAAAAATGTGATCCAATTATTAAAAATATCCTGGACATCTTTATGATGAATTTGAAAGATCACAGCTGACATGCTTACACGAAAGAGTTGACTCTACATCGCCTGTATCCTCTGAGATTGCTTGCCCTGTAAATTCTGTTTATCTGCACGTGATGAAAAATATATTTTTTTATTATAAATAGAGTACAGCCTGAAATTTATCCTAATATAATAATAATAATAATAATATGCACTCCTCTCATGTAAATAAAAATGCTAATTCTATTGGCATTTGCAGATATTTTGAACAGTATAACAGGAATAATGTCTCTTTTATGTTTATTTGTCTATTAAAAAACCTTTACTTGAAGTAATTTAATTTGCTTTTGGAATAACTTTTCAGCATGATATGAGCAGACTCCAGCAATTACCACCACCACCCTACACCGGACAAGCGGTTTGGAGAATGGGTGGATATGCTACGAGTGTCATTGTTTAGCTTTTGGAGCCACCTAGTGGCGCTATGTCTTTTACAGTTAATTCTACACTTTGTCGTTAATTCTGCCTTCACATGCTATCAGAATTAGAGTAAACATGAGTAGCCGACTTGGAAATTTCACATGAACTTCTCACATTATAATCGTGAATTTCTTGTTAGGGAGCCGAGTTGTAGTAAATGATAGGTTCCTTGTAATACTTGAACCTAGTTAGCTTTTGCAGTTTCATTAATACACATTTCTCTATCTATCGTATTTGTTGCAGTTTGTTGTTTTCTGTCATGATTGTGAAAATGCAATGGTGTAAAATATGGAGGAAGAACATTTTTTCACTAATGTAATTTGCACAAAAGGGGAGGGAGAAAGAAAGCAATGTGAAATGTGGGCAGCTATCTATCTATCTATCTATCTATCTATCTATGGCTGCCTGTTTGTCTGTCTGTCTGGAGATTTGTTTCTGATAAGATGTTGGCCTACAGGGTAAGCTACAGGGTTTTTATACAACTTAAACATACATTATAATTACAGTACATAGTAGAAGATGAGGGATCTTTCACTATTCTGTGTACAGTAAATACTGTAGCACGTTGTACACCCTCAAACTCGTAACTGCCGAATTGATTTGTAGCCAAGTAGTTCACACATGTACTGTATTTTTGCAGAACGACTGTCTAGGGAAGGCAGAGAAAGTTTCTGTCTCTTCCAAATTTCCAGCCAAGGCCATCCTTTGGGCGGTGCAACTGATGCGGTCGCACCGGGCCCCGTGGCGAACGGACCGCGGGGTCTAGACCTTTCTATTCCTATTTCCGATGGGGGGAGGGGGGAGATAAATATAATTTATCAGAACATAATAAAATTATTTTTAATTAGGGCTATCAAGTGATTGTTTTTTTTTAATGTAATTAATTACATAATGTGCCAATTAATTATTCAAAATAATCTAAAATTAATAAGATTCATTCATTAACATGCACATCATGTGCCGATTAATTAAAGATAAAGTTGTTATTAAAGATAATAGTTATTTTGTTAATTAACAAAAAAAAACACTACATAGACATTACAAAAAAAGTAGCTTTAGAAAGAAATATTTTAATTCAACATACAAAAATAAAAATAAATAGGCTAGTAAAATATAAAATTAATTAACAAAAAAAAACACTACATAGACATTACAAAAAAAGTAGCTTTAGAAAGAAATATTTTAATTCAACATACAAAAATAAAAATAAATAGGCTAGTAAAATATAAAATTATTTTTTTTAAAACAATACTCTAAATATAAAACTAAAAGCGCCAGTAGGTGGTGACAAATCCCTGTCTTAATAAGTGAATGATTCAGTCATTCTTCAATCAATTTGTTCAAACAGCTGATTCATTCAGAAACGAAGCAAGTGACCGCCTTTATGAATGGCTCACTAAATCATTGATTCAGTCGATTCGTTTAAAAACGTGGATTCTGTGTGTTGATCAGAGATGCACAACAGTTCTCCTTATTTTTGTTGGCGAAATGACTGACAATGTGTCTAAAATGTAATTATTCACACCGTATCTTCATTTTTACTGTAGGTAAAAACTTTTATGTAACCTATTTTTGTCTTTCTAAACGCCAATGATGATTCTGAAAGAAAACACACAGTGTTTGTTATATTAACACTTGCAACTTTCATGCACATCTGACTAACATTACCACACGCTTGTATTTTAGCGTTGCTGTTAATGTTGTGGTTATTTTAGCAAATAGTTTGCTCCGTAAATTCAGTTCAACAGCATTAAGTTGAAGAGGGTAAACTTTATCTCTCGACTGAATCTGCACATGCATTTCAGGTGTTCTTGCTCCGTCCAAGCAATAAATGCATGTCTTTGAATGAGCGCTGTAGCGTATTCTTCAACCGCTCAGGTAATGTCAGTACGATCCATTTCAGGGGCTGCCAACATTACATTTTTAAAATCAGTCAGAGCTATAGAAGTACATATTAATATTTACAAGTAAATCTCCATATTATGCATAGGCTAGCCTACGTTCTATCTGACCCCCCCTACATCTCGTTTTGACATCCATCAGGAGGGATCAAGCCTTCTTTAGGGGTGTCAGACCCCCCCATAATTTGCACCCTGCCGATGACCAGTGGTCATACATCTTATATCAGGTGCACTCGTCATCAATCTGCGCCAGGCATGGTTTGATACAATGCAAGGTACTTTACAGAGCTCACCTGACAAATGCACAATTATCTAAATTATCTAATCTTTTCCAGACAAGAATGACGCTTGCAACCATTCTAGACAAGTTCCAGCAGATCATGTACACATGTTCTGGTCATGTCCTCGATTAGTAACCTTTTGATGCAACGTATTTGACACACTGGGAGAAGCACTTAATGTTGAACTGAGTCCCAATCCATTGACAGTTGTTTTTGGTATTTTACCATACACTACTTACTTTAGTCCCATTGCTCAAGTGGTTGCTTTTACCACTCTATTAGCTAAAAGGAACATTCTCCTTAAATGGAGGTGTGCCACTTCCCATACTCACAATAGATGGATACAAGATATATTTTTTGCATTAAATTGGAGAAATTAAGGTTTATGCTTCAAGGTTCCCTTAAGACCTTCAGTAGCACCTGGGATCTTTTCTTGAATTTCATTAAAGCCCCAACATTGTTGGTTTCATTGCTTTGTCCCTCTAATACAGACTCGCAAAATACTTAAGAAATGTCTATCTTAGAACATCAAAGAATGCTAATTATGAGAAAATATTATACATCTGTGTGTTTTTTTTTTCTGTTTTTTCTTTCTCCCTTGGTAGGGATGTTTAAGGTTTGGGGTTTTACATGGTAAGGACATTTTGTTGTTTGTTGATCATTTTGATGTAAGTGAAAATCATACTGTCCTGACAAAATGCCAATAAAAATATTGGGGAAAAAAACTTTTCTTAAAGCTTATTGCTAAATTTCACTGTATCTGCACCCCTCTTTTTATGTAGTATACTGTAATAGACATTGACTTGCAAAATAATTCCTGATTCCCAAAAGGAGGTTTTTGTAATAGTGTTTTGAATTGACCTAACTAGTGTTCTCTAGGTACTGGAGTAGTCTCTGCATTTGTCAGGTTTGTGTGTCATATGAGGCCAGAGTTTGATTCTGACAAAAGAGAGTTTTGCCTAAACTATTTGCTTTTAAATATTTGGATTCAGAAGTCTGAGGTTTGTACAAGTTGGTGTGTAGTTTTGAGATTTTGTTTCTAGCTGTAAGAAAATGGTGAATTACTTCATGAATTGTGTGTTAGTAGTCAAGAAAAACTGAATGTTAAAAAGCTTTCCGTGTATCAGATAACTAAATGGTATTTATGCTTGTAAATGTTTGAAATAAGTTAGACTTACCACAGTTACCACATGGGATGCCAATGCAATGAATTCAGGGGATGAGTGGTTGTTATATATTTCACTGAAAGTTTCATTTAGACTGAATCTTAAGTGTATGCTTCCCTCGTCAAGGGTAGGAGGATCAGTATTTGTGCCCTCTGTTGTTGGTGCTACAGTGGACACATATGAGGTATGAGCCTCTGTTACTGGCTTTACTGACGTTAGTGTTGTTGTTGTTGTCGATGTTGTTGTATATACTGTTGTAGAATTTAATACAGTAGATGAACCCTTAGCTAGTGTAGTCTTGGTTGATTCTGGTTTATTTCTAACAGTTGCTGCTGCTGTTGTCCTTGATGCAGTTGCTGTCAATGCTGATGTCACTGGTACAAAGGTTGAAGCTTTTGGTGCAGTAGCAGACTTTACTAAGCTTGTTGTTGATGTTGTTGTTGTAACTGTACCTACTGCCACAGAATGTATCACAGTAGATGAAACTTGAGCTAGTGTAGTCTTGGTTGATTCTGGTTCATTGCTAACGGTTGCTGCTGTGGTCGTGTTCGCTGCAGTTGCTGGCAATGCTGATGTCACCTGTACCAAGGTTGAAGCTTTGAGTGTAGTAGCAGATTCTACTAGGCCTGTTGTTGTCACTGTATCTTCTGTTGTAGTTATCCTGATTGTTTCCGGTTCATTGCTAACAGTTGCTGATGTGGTTGTGCCCAATTCAGTTGGCAATGCTGATGTCACTGGTACCAAGGTAGAATCTTTGGGTGTAGTAGCAGACTCTACTAGGCCTGTTGTTTTCACTGTATCTTCTGTTGAAGTTGTCCTGATTGTTTCCGGTTCATTTCTAACAGTTGCTGCTGTGACTGTCCCTGCTGCAGTTGCTGGCAATGCTGATGTCATTCCTGATGATGGTGCAATGGTTGCACTTGTTATTTGGGCTTCTGCAGATGATTCTGTAGATCTGGATGTTCTTGCAGTTGTTGTCTTTACTTCACTTGCTTCAGTTAAAGGTGATGATGCCTCTGTTATTCGTGCTGTTGTAGTTGGAGCAAATGTTGATTCTGTTGTACCAGATTCTCTTAATGTACTTATTCCTGCTGATGAAGAACCACTGTCAGCATGTGTTTTAGGTTCTTGTGTCACACTTTTGGCAGTGTTGGAGACTTCTAAGGTATGAGCCACTGTTACTGGCTTCACTGACATTAATGTTGTAGTTTCGTTTTGGGCTGGTGAGGGTTCGGTTGTGACTTGAGATGTCACTGGTACCAAGGTTGAAGTTTTGGGTGCAGTAGCAGACTCTTCAAGGACTGTTGTTGTGGCTGTATCTACTGCCACAGAATGTAATACAGTAGACGAAACCTTAGCTTGAGTAGTCGTGGTTGATTCTGGTTCTTCTCTAACAGTTGCTGATGTGGTTGTGCCCAATGCAGTTGCTGGTAATGCTGATGTCACTGGTACCAAGGTTGAAGCTTTGCGTGTAGTAGCAGACTCTACTAGGCCTGTTGTTGTTGTCATTGTTTCTTCTGTTGTAGTTATCCTGATTGTTTCCAATTCATTACTAACAGTTGCAGCTGTGGTTGTGCCCAATGCAGTTGCTGGCAATGCTGATGTCACTGGTACAAATATTGAAACTTTGGGTGTAGTAGCAGACTCTACTAGGCCTGTTGTTGTTGTCACTGCATCTTCTGTTGTAGTTATTCGGATTGTTTCCGGTTTATTGCTAACAGTTGCTGCAGTGGTTGTGCCCAATGCAGTTTCTGGCAATGCTGATGTCACTGGTACCAAGGTAGAATCTTTGGGTGTAGTAGCAGACTCTACTAGACCTGTTGTTGTTGTCACTGTATCTTCTGTTGTATTTATCCTGATTGTTTCTGGTTCATTGCTAACAGTTGATGATGTGGTTGTGCTCAATGCTTGTTTCTTCTGTTGTAGTTATCCTGATTGTTTCCAATTCATTACTAACAGTTGCAGCTGTGGTTGTGCCCAATGCAGTTGCTGGCAATGCTGATGTCACTGGTACAAATATTGAAACTTTGGGTGTAGTAGCAGACTCTACTAGATGTGTTGTTGTTATCACTGTATCTTCTGTTGTAGTAATTCTAATTGTTTCTGTATCATTGCTAACAGTTGCTGATCTGGTTGTGCCCAATGCAGTTGCTGGCAATGCTGATGTCACTGGTACCAAGGTTCGTTGTTGTTGTCACTGTATCTTCTACTGTATTTATCCTGATTGTTTCTGGTTCATTGCTAACAGTTGCTGATGTGGTTGTGCCCAATGCAGGTGCTGGCAATGCTGATGTCACTGGTACCAAGGTAGAATCTTTGGGTGTAGTAGCAGACTCTGCTAGACCTCTTGTTGTTGTCACTGTATCTTCTGTTGTATTTATCCTGGTTGTTTCTGGTTTATTGCTAACAATTGCTGCAGTGCTTGTGCCCAATTCAGTTGCTGGCAACGCTGATGTCACTGTTACAAATGTAGAAGTTTTGGGTGTAGTAGCAGACTTTACTAGGCCTGTTGTTGTTGTCACTGTATCTTCTGTTGTAGTTATTCTTATTGTTTCTGGTTCATTGCTAACAGTTGCTGATGTGGTTGTGCCCAATTCAGTTGCTGGCAAAGCTGATGTCACTGGTACCAAGCTAGAAGCTTTGGGCGTAGTAGCAGACTCTACTAGGCCTGTTGTTGTTGTTGTCACTGTATCTTCTCTTGTAGTTATACTGATTGTTTCCAGTTCATTGCTAACAGTTGCTGATCTGGTTGTGCCCAATGCAGTACTAGCAGTTGCTGATCTGGTTGTGCCCAATGCAGTTTCTGGTAATTCTGATGTCACTGGTACCAAGGTTGAAGCTTTGGGTGTAGTAGCAGACTCTACTAGGCCTGTTGTTGTTGTCACTGTATCTTCTGCTGTCTTTATCCTGATTGTTTCTGGTTCATCGCTAACAGTTGCTGATGTGGTTGTGCCCAATTCAGTTGCTGGCAAAGCTGATGTCACTGGTATCAAGGTAGAATCTTTGGGTGTAGTAACAGACTCTACTAAACCTGTTGTTGTTGTCACTGTATCTTCTGCTGTCTTTATCCTGATTGTTTCTGGTTCATCGCTAACAGTTGCTGATGTGGTTGTGCCCAATTCAGTTGCTGGCAAAGCTGATGTCACTGGTATCAAGGTAGAATCTTTGGGTGTAGTAACAGACTCTACTAAACCTGTTGTTGTTGTCACTGTATCTTCTGCTGTCTTTATCCTGATTGTTTCTGGTTCATCGCTAACAGTTGCTGATGTGGTTGTGCCCAATTCAGTTGCTGGCAAAGCTGATGTCACTGGTATCAAGGTAGAATCTTTGGGTGTAGTAACAGACTCTACTAAACCTGTTGTTGTTGTCACTGTATCTTCTGCTGTCTTTATCCTGATTGTTTCTGGTTCATCGCTAACAGTTGCTGATGTGGTTGTGCCCAATTCAGTTGCTGGCAAAGCTGATGTCACTGGTATCAAGGTAGAATCTTTGGGTGTAGTAACAGACTCTACTAAACCTGTTGTTGTTGTCACTGTATCTTCTGCTGTCTTTATCCTGATTGTTTCTGGTTCATCGCTAACAGTTGCTGATGTGGTTGTGCCCAATTCAGTTGCTGGCAAAGCTGATGTCACTGGTATCAAGGTAGAATCTTTGGGTGTAGTAACAGACTCTACTAAACCTGTTGTTGTTGTCACTGTATCTTCTGCTGTCTTTATCCTGATTGTTTCTGGTTCATCGCTAACAGTTGCTGATGTGGTTGTGCCCAATTCAGTTGCTGGCAAAGCTGATGTCACTGGTATCAAGGTAGAATCTTTGGGTGTAGTAACAGACTCTACTAAACCTGTTGTTGTTGTCACTGTATCTTCTGCTGTCTTTATCCTGATTGTTTCTGGTTCATCGCTAACAGTTGCTGATGTGGTTGTGCCCAATTCAGTTGCTGGCAAAGCTGATGTCACTGGTATCAAGGTAGAATCTTTGGGTGTAGTAACAGACTCTACTAAACCTGTTGTTGTTGTCACTGTATCTTCTGCTGTCTTTATCCTGATTGTTTCTGGTTCATCGCTAACAGTTGCTGATGTGGTTGTGCCCAATTCAGTTGCTGGCAAAGCTGATGTCACTGGTATCAAGGTAGAATCTTTGGGTGTAGTAACAGACTCTACTAAACCTGTTGTTGTTGTCACTGTATCTTCTGCTGTCTTTATCCTGATTGTTTCTGGTTCATCGCTAACAGTTGCTGATGTGGTTGTGCCCAATTCAGTTGCTGGCAAAGCTGATGTCACTGGTATCAAGGTAGAATCTTTGGGTGTAGTAACAGACTCTACTAAACCTGTTGTTGTTGTCACTGTATCTTCTGCTGTCTTTATCCTGATTGTTTCTGGTTCATCGCTAACAGTTGCTGATGTGGTTGTGCCCAATTCAGTTGCTGGCAAAGCTGATGTCACTGGTATCAAGGTAGAATCTTTGGGTGTAGTAACAGACTCTACTAAACCTGTTGTTGTTGTCACTGTATCTTCTGCTGTCTTTATCCTGATTGTTTCTGGTTCATCGCTAACAGTTGCTGATGTGGTTGTGCCCAATTCAGTTGCTGGCAAAGCTGATGTCACTGGTATCAAGGTAGAATCTTTGGGTGTAGTAACAGACTCTACTAAACCTGTTGTTGTTGTCACTGTATCTTCTGCTGTCTTTATCCTGATTGTTTCTGGTTCATCGCTAACAGTTGCTGATGTGGTTGTGCCCAATTCAGTTGCTGGCAAAGCTGATGTCACTGGTATCAAGGTAGAATCTTTGGGTGTAGTAACAGACTCTACTAAACCTGTTGTTGTTGTCACTGTATCTTCTGCTGTCTTTATCCTGATTGTTTCTGGTTCATCGCTAACAGTTGCTGATGTGGTTGTGCCCAATTCAGTTGCTGGCAAAGCTGATGTCACTGGTATCAAGGTAGAATCTTTGGGTGTAGTAACAGACTCTACTAAACCTGTTGTTGTTGTCACTGTATCTTCTGCTGTCTTTATCCTGATTGTTTCTGGTTCATCGCTAACAGTTGCTGATGTGGTTGTGCCCAATTCAGTTGCTGGCAAAGCTGATGTCACTGGTATCAAGGTAGAATCTTTGGGTGTAGTAGCAGACTCTACTAGACCTGTTGTTGTTGTCACTGTATCTTCTTTTGTAGTTATTCTGATCGTTTCTGGCTCATTGCTAACAGTTGCTGATGTTGTTGTGCCCAATGCAGTTGCTGGCAATGCTGATGTCACTGGTACCAAGGTAGAATCTTTGGGTGTAGTAACAGACTCTACTAGACCTGTTGTTGTTGTCACTTTATCTTCTGTTTTAGTTATCCTGATTGTTTCTTGCTCATTGCTAACAGTTGCTGATATTGTTGTGCCCAATGCATTTGCTGGCAATGCTGATGTCACTGGTACCAAGGTAGAATCTTTGGGTGTAGTAGCAGACTCTACTAGACCTGTTGTTGTTGTCACTGTATCTTCTGTTGTATTTATCCTGATTGTTTTTGGTTCATTGCTAACAGTTGATGATGTGGTTGTGCTCAATGCAGGTGCTGGCAATGCTGATGTCAATGGTACCAAGGTAGAATCTTTGGGTGTAGTAGCAGACTCTACTAGACCTGTTGTTGTTGTCACTGTATCTTTTGTTGTATTTATCCTGATTGTTTCTGGTTCATTGCTAACAGTTGATGATGTGGTTGTGCTCAATGCAGGTGCTGGCAATGCTGATGTCACTGGTACCAAGGTAGAATCTTTGGGTGTAGTAACAGACTCTACTAGACCTGTTGTTGTTGTCACTGTATCTTTTGTTGTATTTATCCTGATTGTTTCTGGTTCATTGCTAACAGTTGATGATGTGGTTGTGCTCAATGCAGGTGCTGGCAATGCTGATGTCACTGGTACCAAGGTAGAATCTTTGGGTGTAGTAGCAGACTCTACTAGAGCTGTTGTTGTTGTCACTGTATCTTCTGTTGTAGTTATCCTGAATTTTTCTGTCTCATTGCTAACAGTTGCTGCTGTGGTTGTGCCCATTGCAGTTGCTGGCAATGCTGATGTTGATCCTGTTGATGTTAACATAGTTGCGCTTGTTGCCTCTGCAGCTGGAAAAATATCATTAGATGTCAGTATTTTTGTTGTTGGTGGTGCGGTTTCTGATGCAGACACTGTTGTTTTACTTGGTGTTATTGAATCAGTTTTGGCCGTTAAAGGTTCTGTTGTGACTTGAGGTGATGATGCAGATTGTACTGCACTGATTGTCACTGACTCTGTTGTAGCTACTGTTTGTGTAGGCTGAAGTATTGCCGTTACCCCTATAGGTATCAAATATGCATCAAATTAGTGTACAATATTAACAATAAAAAAGATGAAAAATCTTTTAGAGTAACAATATTATTTGTAATCAGTTTTATGATTGTTTTCTTTTTTAATTTTCCCCCCTTTCTTGAAGGTGCAGTGTGTAAATTTTAGCGGCATAGCGGTGAGGTTGCGAATTGCAACCAACGGCTCAGTCTCCTGCCCACCCTTCCCTTTAGAGAAGCTACGGTGGCCGATACAGGACTAAGATGTCGTAGTCTGAGACAGCAGAGATAGCCAGCAATGAGATTTCTTTACAAAGGTAAATTAAGGAATTATATTTACTTAATTATTAAATAAATCGATATGTTATGGCGAATATTATTGTTACTTGTTCATCATTGTGTCAGTGTTTTATTCGCAAGAACAACATAGTGACGAAATGCGTTCTGTCCTTTAAGTGCTACTGTACAAATATGGTGGTGACTTCCATGTAAGGGGACCCGCGGTGTATGTAGATATAAATTGCTCATTCTAAGTTAATAAAAACAGGACGGTTCATTATGTAACGTCTTTATACACCTCTGAAAACATAGTTATGTATATTATATTGCATGTCTGTCAATAGATCCTCCTAAATATTACACACTGCACCTTTAAAATGTTCTTTTATCAATGTTCTTTAAATATTATTTGCTTGGTTACTTTTCATGCTGTTGCTTTCCATTGCCATGTTTATTTATTATTAACGGCCCTGTTACAAAGAAATGCCAAAATGGCCAAACCAAAAACATTTCCTTATTAAAAATTGTCTCTCTGCTTTTCCTGAAGCTGATAATTATTATCTCAAAGGGACAGTTGACCCTTTACAAAGGTAAATTAAGGAATTATATTTACTTAATTATTAAATAAATCGATATGTTATGGCGAATATTATTGTTACTTGTTCATCATTGTGTCAGTGTTTTATTCGCAAGAACAACATAGTGACGAAATGCGTTCTGTCCTTTAAGTGCTACTGTACAAATATGGTGGTGACTTCCATGTAAGGGGACCCGCGGTGTATGTAGATATAAATTGCTCATTCTAAGTTAATAAAAACAGGACGGTTCATTATGTAACGTCTTTATACACCTCTGAAAACATAGTTATGTATATTATATTGCATGTCTGTCAATAGATCCTCCTAAATATTACACACTGCACCTTTAAAATGTTCTTTTATCAATGTTCTTTAAATATTATTTGCTTGGTTACTTTTCATGCTGTTGCTTTCCATTGCCATGTTTATTTATTATTAACGGCCCTGTTACAAAGAAATGCCAAAATGGCCAAACCAAAAACATTTCCTTATTAAAAATTGTCTCTCTGCTTTTCCTGAAGCTGATAATTATTATCTCAAAGGGACAGTTGACCCAAAAATTAAAATTCTGTCATCATTTATTCAGCCTCATGTCACTCCGAACCCTTAAAACTTTTGCTCATCTTTGGAACACAAATTAAGATATTTCTAATGAAATCTAATGGGTTTCTGTAACTCCATTGACAGTGTACACAACTACGACTTTGATGCTTCAAAAAATTCATAAAGAAATTGTAAAATGAATCCATTGAAAACGAGCAGTTTTCAGAAGAGACTTGATCACTTTATATGATGAACAGTTCCCCTTCAGGAACTCGAGCTGCGTCGAGATTCGCTTTGGGAACGCCCCTGCGTGACCGCGTTCTGAAGCACGTGTAAAATCAGTCCAATGGAGCAGCGAGACGTCACGAGCGGGGTGACGTGAGCGCCAGGAAGTATAAAAGCGCATCCGGCAGAGCGCATCAGGTTGGCGCATGTTTGCACACCATGGCGGTGTTACATGCATACCAGGCTGATCTGCTCAGGGGTGGGGCTGCTGAGCGGGAGCAGCCCCAAGCCTCTTTCTACAGTACGCAGGACCCATTGAGACACATTTGGCAGTAGCTTCCACGCTGCTAAA